CCCCCCCAAACAATGCCATCAGTGTTGTGATCTTTTCTCGTCTTCCAAATAGGAGTTTTTTTGTGAAACAAAATTGAAATCCGGAAAAAAGAAACTGACAATAGCTTTAGAAAGAAATAAATGAGAATTTCTTTTAAAACATCCTTTCCCCTTATTTTAATCTCTTAAATCAATAGCACAACGACAAGCTGAATACTACAAAGAATAACAGCGATTCCTTCATTAAATCGGGCGTAAGATTCAAAGCTCCACGTAAGTAAAGAATGGGCGATTAACATTCCTTGAATACCTTATGCAGTCCGGCGGGAGAAGATTGGAATCAATACTTCAGTAGATAATTCTTTCACCCTAGGCACAAATGGCCATTTCACATGTCCACGGTAGAACAGAACCTGAGACCTGGTCTTCTTAATTATTTGTTCTTACTATAGTTGCTAAGCAATAATTGTTGCGTAAGCTTGCGGTAATGAGATGAGACGAAGCGGGTAAGATTTGGGTGAAGATGGCAGTGGAGATGGGAAGATCGGAGTGGAGACGAACAAGGATTAAAACGATGACAACAATGACGACTACGACGATGATGATGACAATGGCGACGACAATAAAAATGATGATGATGCTGATGTTGATTAATCTCAATCTGATCTATCGACAATATTTCACTACGTGTATTTTGAAAAAAAAACGTCCCCATGATTTATTTCTATTATTAAAAGATAGATTTTGCAATAGTTTTTGAGAACAAAACACTTTTAAAGTTATCTTTACATCTTTTTTCTCGTTCTCCACTTCTTCTCTATATTTCCTCCTCCTCTCCCTCTTTCTCCTCCTTGTCCTCCATCAGTGCCTTGGTTAACAAAAGTTCAAAGGTCTCCAAGGATGACGCAATTGACACAACTCAACACCCTCGCTGGGGTGCAGCATATTATTGCGACCTCAACTCACACACCCAAGCCCCAGTTTAGAATCCGAGGGCTAAGATCCAAAGACCAAGTATCTCTTGCTGTTTCTAGAGTATCTTCTATCGGACATGTATCCTTCCATCTCTCTCTCTCACCCTCTCTCTCTATCCCGCTCTCTCTCTCTACCCCTCCACCCATCCTCTCTCTCTCTTTCTCTCTCTCTCTCTCTCTCTCTCTCTCTCTCTCTCTCTCTCTCTGCCTATCTATCCGCCCCATCTCTCT